TAGGGACACCATGCGCAATTAGTCAACGCCAAAGATCTCCATGGATCGACTTGTTCTGAGTTATTACTTTGGCTCTGCTGTCCATTACCTTAACCGCACCCACCTTGTCTTTGGCAATTAAGTACTGTCATGGTCCTGGCCACCTCTGGAACTTTTGGTCCTAGGTGTCAGTGAACAACCAAGTAAACTGGTAAAACCACTCTCAGTTTCTTGGCCTAACATAAGGAATCCAGAATTTCTGCTCCGTGCCCCCAAGTCAATAAATTTGGCCTGATCCTACTTTCTACTCGTTCCAACTGCTCCAATACTCTTAGGATCCCAAACATCCCACATGTTTTTTATCAATTGAAATTGGAAAAATCTTGCCATTCTTTTAGTGCATTTGGTTCCTTCTCATAAGTCATTTTATAACTGACCTCCTGAGGCCTGGCAGGATTTAAGTCTGGTTATAGGTCAGGAAACAATGAGGAAAGGTCCTGAGGAGGCTCTCTCTCCTTTCAGGTTCTTAGGCAAGTGGGGCCTGACCTTAAACAGGTAAGAAGGGCTGTTTCTGTGGCAAAGAAGGCTTGGTAGAATTTATAGGACCAAGCTTCATTTAAATCTGCCCATGGAGTCCTCATACCAATGTTCAAAGTTGCTCTTCTTCCCGACCAATGCCATAACTTGAACAAAAGAGATCCTGTGGAGCTTAAATTCAATTTGCCTTGTAAGTCAATCACCTACAGAATTAGCTTTTTGTTTGTTTCTCAGAAATGTTTCAGAAACTTTGCTTCTGCATGAGAATTTCTTTTAGGACAGTCAGACAGAAGTTTGTAATTCTGAATGTTCCTGGAACTCCCTGGCTTGGGGGTTACAAAAAAAGTCACCTTAATATTGAGGACCAAATTCCATTAGTTTGAAAGCTCTCACACATGGAACTAAAACCTTGCACCTCTTTTGAGGTTCTCTCTTACAGACACAGCTCTGGGGTTTTGGAGGTTGTCACATCATCTCACAAACCATGCGAGGCTGCTGTGTGTGGCTGCTTTCACTTTGATCTGGGCTCTGTCTGGCTCTGAGCCACGCCTCTGCTGCCCAACCTGGCATCACACCTATGCCACTGTTCACACGGGCTGCTGCTTCATGCTCCGTCCACCACACCTGTCACAGCTGCTTCACCTGGGCCCCCTTCCCTCTCCCTCAGGCTACTGCTTACGCTGGTGCTGCTGCCACAGATGCTATTTCTGTGTGCCCTGCTGCTTTGCCCTGATCCATTGCAGTCCTTCTGCTTTGGCTCCTGCTCCTGCTCCTGCTCCGGTCACCCTGTCTTCTGCCACCAGTCAGCACACTTCACTGTCACCACCACTCTGCCCCAGACTGCTAGGGCTCACCTCTGTTTTCTAAAATGGGTAGAGAAATTGCCTCCTCTTCCTTGTGTTCTGTACTCTTGTAGAATCCCACTTCAGGGCTCTTGGGGCCTGAGTGTTACATAGTTTAAGGCGTTTTTGAGTATTATCCACATACTTTCCTGTCCTGACACATTCATGCTGGTGACAGAGCTCATGGGGAGGTTGAGTCAGAGGCTGTGTACTATACCCCAAATCCCCTGGAAATCACAGGCCTTATTACTGTGTTTAGTTTATTGTGTCATGTTTCTTTCCTTGAGGTGCCAACTTCTTCCACTTCTCTTTTAACCAGTTTCCCACTCGGTTTGAATTCTTATCATGAACATAGTTCAAATACTTGTCCTCAAAGATGCCTTAACTTGCGGCTCAGTCAGTGACTACAAACAGATGCAGAGGTGGGTGTGGGCCCCATTCCACACCGAATGTGAAGGACAGTCATGCCTCCGCAGGATTTAGAAACTCCTATTTGGCTTTATCAGAGGGAAATCACACACACACACACACACACACACACACACACACCTGTAAACAAAACAAAGCTCTTTGCCCTCAAGAGCTTACATTCTAGTGGGACACAGACAACAAATAACATATAATAAATAAATAAAATATATATTATCAGGTGGTGACTGCAGAAAAAAGGGAACTTCAGGGCAGAGTAAGGACAATCAGACGTGCCCGTGGTGTGTGTATGCACGTGTGCGCACGCATGCATGGGTACAGCTGCAGTAGTAAGCTGGTGGCTAGGTCAAGTCTCATTGAGAAGGTTCCCTGCTAAAGGAAGACATGGAGGAAGAGAAGAAGTTAGTTAAGGAAAAGAACATTTCAGGCAGAGAGCACAGCCAGAGCAAAGCCCTTACCCCAGAGTGTGCCTGGGGTAACAGAATAACACAAGGCCAGTGAGTGAAGAAGAGGGAAGAGATCAAGGTCAGAGATAATGGGATGCCAAGCTCAGTAGGATCTTAAGCCTACTGTGAGAGTTTTGACTTTTACTCTGAGTAAAATGAGAAATTACTGGAGGATTTTGAATAGACAATGACATGATCACTCTGGCTACTAACTATGGGGTTTAGGTTAGGCAGTGGTTCTCAACCTTCTGGCCCTTTAAATACAGTTCCTCATGTTGTGACCCAACCATAAAATTATTTTTGTTGCCACTTCATAACTGTAATGTTGCTACTGTTATGTATCGTAATGTAAATATCTGATATGCAGGATGGTCTTAGGCGACCCCTGTGAAAGGGTCGTTTGACCACCAAAGGGGTCTCGACCCACAGGTTGAGAACCGCTGGTTAGAGGAAGAAAGATTGTGATGAGGTTTATTGGGTTAGTCCAGAGAGAGGATGGTAGCTCAGACCAAGGTAGTAACTGAGGAAGGAGTGAGTAATTAGATTCTGGCAATATTTGAAGGGAGAGCCAAATAAGATTTCCTAATAAACTGGATGTGAGAGAGCAGACTCAAAGCTAACACAAAGATTTTGACCTGCAGATAGAAGATGGCGCTGTCATGAAATTCCAAGATGCCACAATAGGGAAGGCCACAGGTTAAAGAGTAAGATCTGAAGCTCTGTTTAGATCTGTAGATTTTGAGATTCCTATTAGATATTCAAGTGGAGATATTGATAGGCAATTGGATATGTATCAGGAATTCAAAAGGGAGATCTGAGCTGGAGAGATGCCTTTGGGTGTTCTCAAATTGGAAATTACATTTATAGCCCGGAGCATAGATGAGATCATCAAGGTAGTAAGTGTGGATAGAAAATAAGAGAGGGCCCAGGACTGAGCCTGGGGTACTTCAACATAGGAGGCTGGAGAGAGGAGACCAACTCAGCCAGAGGCAGGGAGGTGGAAGGAAAATCAAAAGAGTATACAGTATACTGGAAGCCAAGGGAAGAAAGTACACCAAGAAGGAGAGAGTGATCAATACCATAAAATGTTGCTGGTCAGGTAAGAGGAGGTCTAAAAACTAACCATTGTAATGATCAACATGAGGTCACTTGATGGTCTTGACAAGCACTATTTTGGTGGGATGGTGTGGGCAAAAGCCTTATTGGAGTAGGTTCTGGAGAGAGTGGGAAGGGAAAAATTGGAGACAGAATTTACGATGGCTATTAAGGAGTAAAGATATTGTGCAGTCGACAATGAGGTACCATCTCACACCTGTCAGAATGGCTATCATCAACAAATCAACAAATGACAAGTGCTGGTGAGGATGCGGAGAAAAAGGAACCCTCTTACACTGCTGGTGGGAATGCAGACTGGTGCAGCCACTGTGGAGAACAGTATGGAGTTTCCTCAAAAAACTAAAAATGGAACTTCCATTTGACCCAGTAATCCCACTTCGAGGAATATATCCCAAGAAACTAGAAACACCAATCAGAAAGGATATATGCACCCCTATGTTCATAGCAGCACAATTTACAATAGCTAAGATTTGGAAACAGCCTAAATGCCCATCAGCAGATGAGTGGATTAAAAAACTGTGGTACATCTACACAAAGGAATACTATGTTGCTGTAAAAAAGAAGGAATTCTTACCATTTGCAACAGCATGGATGGAACTGGAGAGCATTATACTATTCGAAATAAGCCAATCAGAGAAAGATAAATATCACATGATCTCACTCATTTATGGAATACAATGAACAACATAAACTGATGAACAAAAACAGATCCAGAGACAGAGAAGCATCATACCTCATGATGAGACTGTCATACCTCAGAGGGCAGGTAGGGCAGGGCGGGGGTAAGGGGGAGAGATCAACCAAAGGACTTGTATGCATGCATATATGCCTAACCAATGGACACAGACGCCAGGGGGGTGAGGGCATGAGTGGGGGACTGGGGGGGGCAATGGGGGGATAAGCACACATATGTAATACCTTAATCGATAAAGAAAAAAATTAAAAATATTGTGCAGTAGATGGAGGAGAGAGCATGTCAAAAGGAGTTTTTTGTTCATTTTATTAAAGACAGTAGGAATAATAGCATGCTTGTAGGCTGATGGAGAGTGAAAAATTAATACCATGGGCTAGAGAGCAGGAACAATTGGAGCAACTTTACTGTCTAATGATTCAAACGCTAATCTCTTCTGGTGATGCCCTCCCTCACAGCCACACCCAGGAAAAATGTTTAACTAGCTATCTGGGCATCCTTTAGCCAGTCAAGTTGACACATATAAATTCACCATCACACCCAGGCAAGTCAATATGCATTTACATTCTCCACTATGCAAAGCACAGCACTATAAATGCAAAATACAAAAGAAATGAGAAATGGGACCGCACTGTGTAATATTCTCTTGTGTGAGCACACTAGCAGGGTAGAGAAACTTCATGCCTAACAGAATATCCTCTGACTTCTACAAACAATTTCTAAAATAGAGAGGAAAATGTTTCTACTTACTTGTAAAATTGAGTTCTTCTTTCTTCATTTTCTCTATTTTCAGCCCTCTTTCTATACTACTTCCCATCAGTTGGGGCGGGGGGAATGGAAACAGGCTAGGTAGCTCAGTTGGTTGGAGCGTCATCTGATGCACTGAGGTTGCAGGTTTGATCCAGGTTGGAGCACATACAAGAATCAATCAGGAAATGCATGGATAAGTGGAACAACAGATTGATGTTTCTCTCTCTCTCCCTCTTACCGCCCCCATCACTAAAATCAATAAATTAAAAAGGAGGAATGTAGGTGAATTGTGTGAATTTAATATTTTATTGTTAAGTATTAGTATTGAAAAGAACATGGCAAGTCACCCTTGACTTGAATGTATACACAAAGTCAGAAATCACTTAAATAACCAAACTCTCCCTGAAGAATATTTACAATAAACATTGTGTAAGGTTATAACTTTAGTGATAAGACAATTAGCAATATTAGCAGTGTATCACTCCCAAACCTTTCAAACAGTTGACTCATCATTACATAATGCTCACATGTATGACTTCTCCCAGAAATTGTTTGAATTCATAAGAAAGAGTAGCTAAGTTTTTCTATTTAGTGTGCCTGTATAGACAAGAAATTCTCAATTAATCAAATTTCAGTATTGGTATAGAATCTTATAATGCAAAAATAAAACAAACTTTTCACACACTCACACAGAAAATTAGGAGTTCAGTTCTTAGCAACCCAAAAGTCCCTCGTCCCGAGATAGAGGAGTCTGGAGTAGGTGACAACACAGGCTGCTGCCTCTATGAGCCTAGGTTGTATGCAGGGTCAGGTTATCTAGCCTCTCTGGGCTTCCGTTTCCTCATCTGTAAAGGAACAATAATTGTCCCTACTTGAAACTGACACATTTTAACTATTTAACAACAGTGTCTGCACATTATAAGTTATTAATATGTTAGTTATTATTTACATTATTTGATAATGACCTGAATTAAAGAAACCAGAGATATTGATAAATGAAATTTAAAACCAACAAAATGAATGGAGCTGAGGACTCACATATCACTGCACTTGCCTTTACATTTCTGGTGCGTGTCTATCGCAGATGAGGACCCCACAATCCTATTTTGGCCTCAGATGACACACTATCTTGTCCTTGTCTGGCTGTTTTATCTCAGCAGATTTCGGTGTGACATGTGCACTGGCAGGGACACAGAACCCTGTCTTCTCAATACCACGTCCAGCGATCCCCTCAGAAAGGCAGATACAGATGACAACATCATTTTTTACCTTCATCCCACCTCTGATCCAGTCTTAGTTTCTTTGCTTGCTGCCAAGCTTCCAGATTTGTCCTAGATTCAAGTCTTCAGACCTCTTCCCCTAAAAGGTATAATAAGCACTGACTCGTTTCTTCACTAACAGAATTAAATAATTGTCACCCCACCCATTTTTCAAAAATAGTAGATTATTTTCTCTCCTTCCATAGCATCATTTCTTAGCTAATCTAATTGACTCATCATTACCCTGTCCATTTACTTATAATAGGAAATTGTTTCTTTCTTCTTCCTTTCTAATTCTAAATGGAACCCAATTGACAGTAACATATGATTCTTTCTTTCCTCTGTCCTCATCTAATTTGGAGCATCTTCAATTGAATGTCAACAACCATCAGAAAAATTGCTCCCTTCTTTATCTTCCCTAAATATACCTGGGGCATGAGTAGTGGGGGAGGATTTCTGAGGGGGCGGGCACAGATGCCAACTTGGAAAGCTGACTTTTCATTGATCTGACAAACACTCTGTTTTCTTATCAATATTATAAATCAAATAAAAATGCAATTTTCTACATAAAACAAAACTCCCCCCAAATGGGCTATTATCATAGATGACTATTTGTGTTCATCTATCTCCCTTACCAATGGGCATCATCTAATCCACTGAGGGCCTGAATGCAACAAAAAGGTGGAAGAAAGGTCAATTTGCCTTCGGTTTGAGTTGAGACATCCATTTTTGTCCTCAGACATTGGTGCTTTCAGTCCTGGGGCTTTCAGACAGAGAGCAGGACTGACACCACCAAGCTCCCCAACCCACACTCTCACTCGCAGGCCTTCAGACTGGAGCTGAATTACACCACAGGCTTTCCTGGTTCTCCAGCTTGGATATGGCAGATGGTGGAACTTCTTGGCCTCCATAAACAGCATGAGCCAATTCCTATAATAAATATAAATATTCTATTTGTTCTGTTTCTCTGGAGAACCCTAACACACTGAATGGCAGAATGGACAAGCAGAAAATTTAGTCTCAGATGAGATACTCCTGAAAACATTCTGGCCTTGGAGACACACAAACAAGTGTGTTCAGCTTGGGAGATTAGAGTCAAATACACACAGGCCCTGGTCATGGAGAACTGTGCCCCCCAGAAGCACAGAGGAAAGTGCTGAGGCCACCACAATCCTTTCATGAAAATACCACTTCGCGAATGGCTCATCCGGAGTACAATTCCAGTAATGGTTCTACCTTGATTTGTTTTGTGATCTTAAATAATTTATTAACTTCTGTCATTCTACTTCATTTTCTACATTTATAATAGGATATTCTATCAAGGTGCCATACAGTCACCTTAGCTAAATAAGCTGTTGCTGATGAAAATAAGTGTTAATGTGCTGCTTGCTTGGAAATATATTTTCTGAGAAAAAACTCAAAAGTATTTTTTAAAACAGGATTATTCCTAAAACAAATGACAATTAAATGCAAGTGCATGAGCACAGCATAAAGTGCTGACAGCTTACATTTATAGAAATTCAATATTTCTAAGTAATTCCTGTATCAACCATTACTCAGCCACACTGATATAAAATTTAGAGGAATTAGAGGGATCAAAAGCAGAAATAATCAAAACCTTATTCCAATAGATACCTACATTACAGTTGCTGTGGCAACCCACAACTTTTCTTTTCTGCATTGTGTGTGTATAAAAGCCACGAAGTGATGTTTTTGCAAATGACGTTATAGCAGCCTCAGTTCTGAGTACAATAGTTAATAACCCATCTCATTGAATTGTATTTTCAGTCTTATGTGTTCACTATTGTGGAGGGAAATAATAAAGCACTACAGTTCCTGGAAAAAATGGCCAGACTTTATTTTTAGTATAAAGAATCAGAATTTTGCCATGGCTGGTGTTGCTTAGTGGTTAGAGTGTCGGCCTGTGCACCAGAAGGTCTCGGGTTCGTTTCCTGGTCAAGGGCACATGCCTGGGTTGCAGGTTCAATCCCTGCCTCAGTCGGGGCGCATGCAGGAGGCAACCAATCTCTCTCTCTCTCTCTCTCTCTCTCTCTCTCTCTCTCTTTTTCTCTCCCTCTCTCTTTCCCCTTTTTCTCTCCCCTTCCACTGTCTCTAAAAAATCAATGGAAAAAATATCCTCACTCCTTGGGTGAGGATTAAAAAGAAAGAATCAGAATTTCATTCTCCTGGAAAAAATACTGAAGTACATTCAAAATAGGCAACAAATGTGAATTTAAATAAAAGCTGTTATCAAGAAGCTTCCTAGTACCAAACTTAATTAATGATTTTTAAATATTAAAATACTAGAGGCCCGGTGCATGAATTTGTGCACCAGTGGGGTCCCTTGGCCTGGCCTGCGGGATCGGGCCGAAACCAGCTCTCCAACATCCTCCGAGGGGTCCCAGATTGTGAGAGGGTGCAGGCCAGGCCGAGGGATCCCACCGGTGCACGATTGGGGCTGGGGAGGGACGTGGGAGGTTGGCAAGCTGGGGAGGGACCACTCCAGGATATGTCCGGCCCACCCAAGGTGTGTCCTGATTGGCCGGACCCCAGCAGCAAGCTAACCTACCGGTGGGAGCATCTACCCCCTGGTGGTCAGTGCATGTCATAGCAAGCAGTTGAGCGGCCTTAGTGTATCATTAGCAAATTATGTTTTGATTGGTTGAACGGCTGACTGGACGACCGGACACTTAGCATATTAGGCTTTTATTATATAGGATAACAATATTGTGGGCTTACTACTTACTGATGTAATGTGTTGTTCAAGTTACTATGCCAAGATCACAGCAGCTAACAATGGAATAGAAATTGTACTTTTTTTAAATAAATTTTTTTATTGTAGCACAATCTATAATAATAAAAGTGTAATATGCTTATTAGACCGGACAGCTGAACGACCTTCCAGACATCCTTCTGGATGACCTTCCGGATGAAGCTGTGGCTGTGAGGGCTGAGCCCCTTGCATGAATTTCATGCATTGGGCCTCTAGTGTACATATAAAGAGAAAGGCATACAAATCACAAGTATGTAAGCTCAATATAGTTTTATAAAGTTAACACTGTGCAATCCCCCTTGGATCAAAATAGAAAACATTACTAATACCTTCGTAGCTTGTTTTCAGTTTGGGCTAATACAGATAGTAATGCTGTCACTGTAATGCTGTCACTGTTTTTATACATGTCTTTTGGTAAACATAGTTCCATACCTTCAGTGTAAAAATGCTGGATGATAGGATATGCAAATATCCAGCTTTGGTAGATACTGTCAAACAGGTTCCCAAAATTGTAACAATTTGCATTCCTGATGATCCACACCCTTGTCAACTCTTGGTATTGTCTGTCATTCACATTTTAGCCATTCTAGTGGGCATCATATTGCCTTGCACTTTTATTAGTATTTCCCATTTCCATGATGAATAATATAGTTGAACACCTTTTTCACAGGTCTATTGGATAATTAGATATTCCCCTTTGGAGATGTCTAATCAAGTCTTATCCCCATTTTTCTAATGTAAGTCTTTCTGTATTGATTTGGAGGAATTTTTTACATATTCTGGATATAAATAAGATACATGTATTGCAAATATCTTCTTCCATTTTGTAGTTTCTGATCATTTTCTTTTTAAAAAAAAATATATTTTTATTGATTTCAGAGAGGAAGGGAGAGGGAGAGAGAGATAGAAACATCAACGATGACAGAGAATCATTGATCAGTTGCCTCCTGCATGCCTCACACTGGGGATTGAGCCTGCAACCCAGGCATGTGCCCTGACTAGGAATCCAACTGGGACCTCCTGGTTCATAGGTCAACACTCAACCACTAAGCCATGCTAACCAGGCTCCCTTTCTCTGAGTATCTTCATAAATTCAAGGGTTATTTTATTTTTTATTTAATATGTTACCTCATTATAGTTATCATTTTTGATGCATAGGTTGTCACAAATTTGACCAGTAAGAGCCCCCTCAATCTGGCTCCTGTGTCCTTATTACCCCAATAATATTTCAGCACTTCTTTGCATTCTGGCTTATACTACATGGCTGAGCTCACAAGAAAAGAAAGCAAATTCCCAGATGCCAGAATGAAAAGAGATCTGAAAGCCAAAGCAAAATGTAACCGTGGGCTGACACTGAGATAGTTGTGGAGGCTGTAAGGAACCTGAAAATAGACTGCTGATAGCTAGGGACTTAGAATTTAACTCTCACATATCAGCAGATGATGAGTCCTGGACTTGGGTGTAGCAGAAAGTAGAACTGATATCTGTTCTTTTACTACAAGTTCAGGTTTTTTGTTTTTTTTGAATTTTGTTTTATTGCTTAAAGCAGTGGTCGGCAAACTGCGGCTCGCGAGCCACATGCGGCTCTTTGGCCCCTTGAGTGTGGCTCTTCCACAAAATACCGACTTCTGTGCATGGGCCACAAAGTTTCCATCGCACTGTACGTGTGCGCCCACACGTGGTATTTTGTGGAAGAGCCACACTCAAGGGGCCAAAGAGCCACATGTGGCTCGCGAGCCGCAGTTTGCCAACCACGGGTTAAAGTATTACGAATGTCTCCTATTTTTTCCCCCTTGACCTTCCCCCAGTCTCCCCTACCCTCCAGTGTCTTGTGTCCATTGGTTATGCTTACATGCATGCATACAAGTACTTCGGTTGATCTCTTACCGCTCCCCAACCCTCCCCGGCCTTCCTGCTGTAGTTTGACAGTCTGTTCGATGCTGCTCTGCCTCTGTATCTATTTTTGTTCACCAGTTTATAATGGTCTTTATTATCCAAGTTCAGGTTTTTTGTTTTCTTTTTAGATTCCACATATGAGATCATCCAGTACTTGTCTCTGTCTTACTTATTTCACTTAGAATAATGCCCTTAAGTTCCACCCATGTTGTTGCAAATGGCAAAATTTTCTTTTTTATGGCTGAATAATATTCCACTGTATGTGTGTGTGCGTGTGTGTGTGTGTGTGTGTGTGTGTAATCACATTTTCTTTATCTATTCATCTACTGATGGACACTTAGGTTGCTTCCATATCTTGGCTATTGTAAACAATGCTGCAGTGAACATAGGGGATACATATATCTTTTCCAATTAGTGTTTTCATTACCTTCGGATAAATACCCAGATGTGGAAACACTGGGTTATAAGGTACTTCTACTTTTAATTTTTTTTGAGGAATCTCCACACTGTTTTCCATGGTGGCTCAACCAATTTACATTACCACCAATCGTGCACAGGGTTCCCTTTTTTCCATATCTTCTCTAACACGTCGTTTATCTTTTTGATAACAGACATACTAACAGGTGAGAGGTGATATCTCATTGTGGTTTTGATTTGCATTTCCATGATGATTACTGATGTTGAGCATCGTTGCATGTCTGTTGGCCATCTGTATGTCCTCTTTGGAAAATGTCTATTCAGATTCTCTGCCCATTTTAAAAGTAGATTGCTTGGAGAGAAACCAAGATGGCGGCATAGGTAAACACCTGAAATTGCTGCCTCGCACAACCACTTCAAAACTACAACTAAAGACAAAACAGACATCACCCAGAACCACAGGAAGGCTGGCTGAGTGGAAATTCTACAACTAGAAGGAAAGAGAAAAGCACACTGAGACTCAGGAGGTGCGGAAGTAAAGTGCAGAGGTATGGAGGCGCACGCGCTCACGGAAAGGGCTGGCATCGGAGGACGCCGGTGTCTTTTTCAATCGGGAGGGAGTCTCAAGCTCCCGATGGCCCTGACTCCAGTTCTGGGTGAGTCTCTGGGGACCCAGACTCACACGGGGAGAAACTGGACTGTCTGGCAGTGGGCAGAACTCGAGGGCAGCTTTCTCAGAGGTGCTTGCAGCAATTACCGCAGGACAATGAGACCCGGGGGCCTCTTAGGGCAGGACTGAGGACCAGCCATAGCTGTTTGCTCTGCCCTGTTGATTCCCTGAGAC